CTCTGCTTAGCAGCAGCTAGTCGCCATAGGCTCCATTCATCTTTGCGGATATCCGGAGCTCTCTAGGAGTCGCTGCTTTCTTACAAGGTTCATTCACTTGGGTTGTTTGCGTCACAACTCAGCTGGTTTGTTGACCTATTCTGTGCCACCGTGGGATCCACTAGTAACTGAAGGCTTAACCCGAACTCTATTTCTGGCCACTCATCTCTCTCCTAGCGCGCCGTTATCCGTCGTCTTCTTACTCGCGTCAACTCTTCTTGGCAGTAGATATTCATTGTTGGCCACATGTAAGTATGGAGTCACTTCTTTGCTCTCCTACTGTTTTTTCTGGAAGGTTTTTATCTCTAATCGCTCGCTCGCTCGTTTATTTACCTAATGAAACTGTAGGGATCCAGCATGTAGTCAAACGTCTTAATGATATGGCTACACCAGCCACTGATACATCCTTTCCTATAGCCACTATCTCTGGTCAGCAGCAGCTGGTTGCTGTAGGCTCTATTCAACTTTGCGAATACCCGTAGCTCGCTAAGGGTCAGTCCTTCTGTAGACTGTTTATTCTCTTGGTATAGTTTTTTCACAGCTTAGCTGGTTTGCTGTCCTATCCTTTGACACCGTAGTTATTCATTAGTAACAGGCACATTTGGCCACTGAAACCCGGTCCATTATCGCTATCTTTTGATCGTCTTACCTTCAACGTTTAGTCTTCTTTTCATATCCATTTAATCTTAGCCTGCTTCTAGTGTGCTCAGCTTCCTATCTTCAAATACCCATGTACATTATAGGTATTGTGTCTTAGGTAATCCTTATCCCGTGGAGCAAATGTAAATACGGCCACATCGGCACTGTCTTTTGGTTTCCGATAACAGCCAATCGTGACCACACGCCCACCTTCTAGTCTCAGGTAGAATTCGAACCTCGTGAACTTATACCTCATGAATTTCTTACCGGAATCCTGCTCTTCATCCTTATACACATGAAAGTATTTTACCCATTAGGCCATGCCTGCTGCGTAATAAAAAACATCTTTAGCGTAATATCTGTTACACATTGTGCACTAGTTGCGTCAAGTAATTGTCTTAAAGTAGGATTTTGATCCAACGCTTGGTACATTGACTATCCTTTTCGGTCTTCTCTCGGTCTGTCCCTCTCTCCCTTTTCTCTGAGGTCGTGAACATCGGAGATTCGGGATTGAACTGAGGAACTGCCTCCGTCTGGGATGGGACGAAATAACCAACAAGGACTTACCTGGACCATGGCTCCACTTCCACTCTAACCATCTGCACCCAACCACCGATATCCAGTGAGGGTAGCTGGACACGAATTCTTCGCTCCCCGACAAATATACATAACCAGTGAAGACCTCACGTGGTTCTGCAAAGGATCAACACATCATATTCAAAAAGAATTTTTAGTACCCGACCTACCAATGGACAGGACCCAGGAACGCAATAGACAACCAGCTATGGCATCAGCCAGCAGAAAAATTGGACGCAATCTGACTGCGAATAACTGAGCAAACAAACGTTCAACAAGAAACATAGCCAGTTACAATTTGTCATTCAATGGATTGGCGGCACTGTTTCAGGACGTGGTGGGTTTTCGCCTGGCAAGCGTTCTCCCTATAAAAAGCCACAAATGTCCATTTAGCAACACTGCAACGAGGCGCGTGTGACTCGCCACCGAATAAAGTCACAGCCGATAAATGCACCCTGGCAGGTCAACTAGCGTCACAATTCTAGATAAATAAACAAATAAATAAACTTTTATTCTCGACAATGCGAGGCACACCTGTACAGGCATGATCATGTTTAGCTAACATAGTGTGATCAAAATGTACAAAGAGTATATGTTTGGCATAACAGTGAAGGTAAGTGTATGGGTGTATATACGTATGCTATTGTCTATGAATGTAGCTTGTATTTTTGAATGTGCCGCAGAATTTTTGACTGTTTGTTTTCGGTAGGAATGTGAGAATAAGCGATTGACGTCCGTGGGTTGGATACCATTTTCCGGATGTCCACGGGCCAGTGACTTTATTTTGTGGCGAGTCACATCCGCCACGTCACAGTGTTGATAAGCAGACATTTGTGGCTTTTTACAGGGAGAACGCTTGCCGGGCGAAAAACCACCACGTCCTGGAACACTGCCGCCGAACTATTTGCTGGAACGGGTTAAACCCGAACCACCCAGCTGGCACCACGAGGAGGTTGTTCAGTTAGCCAGCCATTCGTTACACTGGTGCTTCTACATCTGCCTATACTGTCGTCCTTTTACTTCCTACGATACGTTGACCTTTGCCTTACTTGTTCACGAACTCACTCTATTGGTACATATCTCTTGAGCGTGCTCTTCCATTACCTTCCAATGGATCATTCAGGATTCTCAATCTATTGTTATTTGAGGTCCCGTATCTCATGACAGCCAAATTATTGTTTCGCATTTTCACCATTGTACAATTCTAATCATGGACATATGAACAATTATCTACTGTCACTGTTACAGCTGCCATATAATGTTTGTACAGTTGTACATATCTGATCATGCCTCCATGGGCGTGCCTCGCATAGTCGAGAATAAAATATTTATTTATTTATTTACAGTTTCAATGAATAAATCAACAGGCGAGCGAAAATTAGAGAGACAGACGTTCGAGGAAATTGAAGGCGGGAGAGTAAAGGAGTTACTCCTTCCAAGCTACATGGAGCCAACAATGACTAGCTACTGAAAAGCATTTATTGTAGCGGGGACGGAAGTTCGTAGGCTGTTACAAGGGCTGAACCCTTTTAAGGCCTCTGGGCCTGAGTTAATTCACCAGTAACTGTTGTATGAGTCGGTTGCGGAACTAAGCGGACCGCTCGCTAGCGTGTTGCAGAAATCGCTTGACGGCTGTGCATTGAATTCCGTATTCACACCTTCAAAAATGGGACACGAGTATGCCTGCAAATTATAGGCCAGTAGGCCTCACAAGTGTAGCAGTTAAACTCCTCAAGAAACTGGTGAGATAGTCATTGGAAAGTCATCTGAGTAGATTTAATCTACTTAACAATGTACAACTCGGATTCCGGAAGGGATTTCCGTGTCTGACGAATCTACTGGTGACTCGCAAAAGTTGGGCGGATGCAGTGGATAACGGCCACGAACTGGGCATACTTTTCGTCGACTTTTCGAAGGCATTTGTAAGGTACACAATTTGAGGCCCGCGCAAAAACTGACCTCCTGCGGGGTATCTGACCGCGCCCTTTATTGGGTGACTGCCTTCTTGGAGGGGGAGAGAACAGTGTGTGCAGGCAGGCCGGGGCCTATCATTTTCGCAGTCTGTCCCCAGTGGCCTGCCGCAGGGCCTGGCCCTTGGACCGCTGCTGTTCTCTATCTATGCGCATGACCTATCCGCGTAGCTTGAGGTACCGTCGCTGCTATTTGCTGATGATCTGAAGTTGTGGAACATTGTTGATGTTCACGGTGGTTCCGAAGCTATTCAGCGAGCATTGGATAAGCTTCGGAACTGGTCTACTTTATGGTTACTGCCCATAAATCAGGCAAAGTGCTCCGCTCTTCGGGTTAGAGGAGGTTGTCCTCCTACGAAGTACGTGGTCGGTGGGGTCGAACTCCCCCGTGTATCTAGCCAAATTGCCCTAGGAGTCGTACACTCTTCGGCTTTACACCGGCGACAACTGGAAGAAGGCCGCAAGCAGAGGTTTCCGCATGTTTGGGTAATAACACGTTCTTTCGAAGTCTTGACGGGCGGCATCTTTACGAGAATGTTCTCGCCTTTCGTCAAGGACGAAATGGAGTTAGAAACGGTTTAACGAGTGCGTACTAGGTTAGTCGATGAATTACGGGGACGGACGTACTTCGAGCATCTACTTAGTATGGGAACGTATTCAATGCACTACCGACGGCTTAGAGGAGACCTAATTCTAACCCACCGTATCTTAACTGGGAAGGTAGGTCCAGATGTATCTTGGCTATTTAGTCCCGCAAGATTGTCTGTTCTACGCGGTCGCTCCTTGAAGCTGAACAAACCGCGGTCCGATCGGATAAGGGCGGAAATCCGGCTGTCACGCAGAGTCCAGGAATCTATGGTTAAGGGGGTTGAGCGTAAGTTGACGCTTCTGGGTGGCAAAACGAAATCTTTCCATTTACCTGAGTAACTCGCATCTTTCGTATTCGATGTACTTTTCTTTGCTTTTCTTCACGCATTGGCAATATTTTCTTATTTCAAGTGCACTTCCGTATTCCGTACCTTCGATTTCTCGTCATATCTTTGCTTACTTCACGTGACTGCAGCAGCAGGAACTGCTAGGGCAGGAAACGGGGGCATTAACTGTTTGACCAGGGTGCGATACGAGCGTTCCGTTTCAGATCCATCAATAACTGAGCACTTCCTCAATCCTTGGCTCAACGATCCACGCAGAATGGAACACTCACGGGATTCTCTTGCCGTTCCAATCCCATCTGAAATTCAAGTTGGTTGTATGTGAAAAACCAAGCTTAATAAAACTTTTGAGCAATCTTCACAGCTTATGCCTTACATTTTTTATAGTTGACCTAATGTAGAAATCTTGAGCTGTTATATTGCATCGAAGAATAGTCCTACACTGGGCGATCAATCAGTTCAAATTTTCCAGTTCGACTAATTCTCGGGGCTGCCCAGTTCACAAAACGCGCAAATTTAGATCCTCTTTGGTTTTCTGCGTTACGTTTGAAATGTGCAGCGCAATTTAAGCTGAACAGTTATATCGAAGTTATCACCAATGCGTCTATGATTGCGATATACTTCTAAATAGTACAATTAAGGGAGGTACAAAAGTTTAGTCATGAATCTTACACTGAATTATTTGGTTGTTATTTAGTTGGCATCTAAACATTATGCAAATAATTTTAATATGCAAGCGTTATAAAAATGATTTAAATGTACACGATAACAATTTAATTTGTGTATTATTTATTCTAATGTGTAAGGTGCAGGTGTACCCAGCGACCCAGAGCATTTTCATTCCGTAGCCTTATCGTCATAAAACCTGTCTGTTCTGTTTTTATGCCTGCATCGAGGCAGTCTGGATTGGCCCCTCTAAACACAAGCATCCGGCTGTTTCGTAAGAATGCAGCACTCAACACTTCTCGAAAAATTTTGCAGAAATCAGGTGAGGCTTCTCAACACTAGGTACGCGCTACCTGCTGTACTAGATGCTACCGCTGTAGCTTATCGAGTACGAATTTATGCTCCCGAATCACTGGCAGCCACCATTGTATCTCACTGTATTTTACGTTGTTTTTGATTATTTAGAACGAATTGTTTGATGATTGTTAGGTCATGTATTCCTACGCCTTTTTGTTTCCGAGGGAAGATTGGAATTGTCGGACCAGTAACTGTGCTTCCTGCTTTGTAGTGCGGATGCAAAAAGCATGTATGGAACACTGCGGTCTGTGTTCGTGGGTGAAATGATTTCAATGAAAATGAAATGAAATGTGTCAGCTTATACGCCGTAACGGCGCTTCGCTGCCGCGCGACCACCACCAGTCGCGCGCGGGCTGAGTATACCTCGAGGACGCCCACCCCTACGCGGATTCGAACCGGTGACCTTATGGTTGGAAAGCAAACGTGCCAACCACTCGGCCACCGGCCGAACCGTGGGTGTTCCATCTTGAATTGATCGTTGTGCTAAGAAATAGTAGGATAATCCGAGTTATTGGTGGATCTAAAACAAAATCATCATTCATCATCAACAGCAGTACATTAGTTATTTGAACTGATGCTTCGGTGCCATACAACCATGAGGACCTATGAAATAAAGAATAAGAAGATGGAGAGAAGGGGGACTTACCTGAGAACCTTAATGCCCTAAGCAAACATTCAGGGTCAAGACGCCTACACCTTGTGTAGACAATATACCGTCACAAACAGCTGGCTATCGTGCAAAGATAAGGCGGCATCGGCGAGACAGCTTCATTACGGCTTTCAATGCCACGCGTCATAATCAGCCATTACCCCGCAGATAACAGCACCAAACACACTTTAAACAGGCAATCCAATTAGGAGACGGCAGCAGACGCGCCACTGGTGTCTACTGCGAGCCATGTCTTGTCAAGTCTCGAGCTAAGCACAAGGCGAGTCACGTGGACTCCAGCCTGGAAGGTGAGACGGACCAACAGCACCCAGTTTGGTCGTCAGTGATTTCATTTGCCGCTGCCAAGTCAACTTCTGTCCACCTCGAGCCTTGCGCCACCCTACACCTGGCAGATTAAACAAGGCTCTCCTAGGTAAGCGGTGACCAGGCATACGTAGCACGTGCTCGAGCCAACGCAACTTATTCAGTGCTATCTGTTGTTTTAGGGAGCTAGCATGATTATCATTACCTAGTACTCGCTACGCACATCATCGTTGCGGATACGCTGGTGCCATCCGACACCAGCAATGCTTCGCAGACAACGATGGTCAAAGACTTGAAGGCGCCTCAGCTCTTCAGACCGAAGGGGGCCAAGTCTCACTGCCATAGAGCAGAACGGCCCTCACTGTGGTCTTGTGTATCCGGCTTTCAGACCGACGGAAACTCCCTACGGGCGCCAAAGAGCCCGCATGATCAAGTAGGCAGCTCTGGATTTTGCAATGCGTGGGCTGACATCAGTTTTTATGCGCCCATCCTTGCCGATGCAGCTGCCAAGATATGTGAAATGATCAATCACCTCGATTTCCTCGTTAACAAGCATCAAGGGGTCATCAAGTAGCTGGTGGTCCTGCAGCAACACTTTGCACTTTGAAGGTGCGAAGTGCATACCAAATAATGGGACCACTTTGGACAGGCTATTCAGGGTTGATTTTGCCGCCACAACTTCGTCAAAAAGCAAGATGGTATCGTCCGCATGATCTAGCTCAACTAACCTTCCACCAGGTAGCCCTTCAAAGCCTACATCGTGAGATTCCGCAAGGGAACACTCCATGATAGAATCCACGACGAAATTGAACAAAATAGGGGAAACCGGACAACCCTGACGAACGCCACTTGTGTCGGAAAGCTATCCCATAGGCCACCGCAGAACCTGACGCGGCCTGTAGTCTTCGAGTATAGAGCATGAAGGAGGCTCATATATTTCGTGGGAATACCTTTCCGCGCAAGTGTTTCGAACAGAATGCATCGATCGACTGAATCGAACGCACGCTTGAACTCGAGGAACACAGCTATTGTCGGTCTGCGGTATGTGTGGCGCTGCTCTAGCACCTGCCGTAATGCGAATATATGGTCTATACAGCCAAGTCCTGGGCGGAAACCGGCCTGCTCTTCCCTAATCCGAGATTCCCGTTCCACATTGAGGCGACGAACGAGAATCGAGGCCAATAATTTTGTCACAACTGGCGTTAGGCTAATACCCCTGTGGTAAGAACAGTCTGTGCGACTGCCCTTCTTGTATATTGCCACTATACTCGATTCGCTCCAATTAGCCGGGACACTTCCTTCCAGATACATTCGAATAAGGAGGTCAGTGCTTTGCAGAGGATCTCACTTCCATCCTTGAATGGTGCAGGTGGGAGGGAATCCAGACCAGCGGCACGAAAACGATTGAGGGCTTTGATCGCGTTTCGGACCTCGGCCTCCGGCAGAGGCTCTAAACTAACCGTCCATGGCTCGTCCTGCGTCACCTGAGTAGAAAGAGGTCCGGGAGCAGGGGGTCAGCTGCACTGGTCTTGAAAATGTTCCGCCCGACGAGCCATACGGCGCTCCTTATTGCGTATCAGTGCACCCGCGCTGTCTCTGATTGTCTCACGGACGCCCGGTTTCCTGGGACCAGTGGTGCGGATTAGCTGGAAGAGCTTGCGGTAATGGCCTACTGCTCCCTCCTCCTCCATTTCTTGAGCCCTACTGGTCCACCAGGCTTCCTTGTCAGCATGTAGGCTCCGCTTTAGTTCACGCCTACTAGCCCGTCTGGTTGCATTGTGTTCAGAGCAAGCCGGGAGGTGTCTTCTAGATTCAAACAGGTTCACCGACCTCTCGGATATCCAGTGACTGGTGCGGTGACGAGGGATAGTGCCACAAGCAGCTGCTCCTGTGTTATGCATGGCGGCCGAGATCCTATTCCACTGAAGCTCAGTGTCATTAGGACAAGACAGCGGAAGTTCGGTATGCAGTGCGTCTTGATAGGCCTGCCTGACCGAGGACTGAGACAATTTCTCCGTTGCCAATCGTAGGGGACACTTGGTGCGCCTCCCGTTAAAGTTCATGGAGAAACGACAGCGTACCAAGGCAAGATCATAGTCGACACAGATACTCCAGTACAAGCGACAATCTAGGATGGAACCACGCCATCTGTAACTTATGGCTATGTGGTCAATTTGGGTCCATCCCTGGCCAAATACAGGAGGACGCCAAGTGGCACTTCGGAACCCACTGTGTCTAAAAGCAGTGCTACTAAGCAACAACTGGTGCTCCACACAGTTGTAGCAGACGCTCACCGTTGTCAGTGCGTTCGGGGTTAAGCCCACAATTACCACCCAGCCGAGCTTCTGAAGAGCTCAGACGCCCTACATGTGCGTTCATATCAACTGCAAGTACTATAATATCTGAAATAGTAGCACTGCGTAGTAGCGCGTTCATTTCGTCATAGAATATGTCCTTGACAGTATTTAAACTGCAGTCGGTGGGAGCATAAGCGGAAATCACAAACAAACAGCGTTTTTTACTGCTTCGTGAACCAACCTTAGCTGATTTCGTCAAACGGGCTGCACATAAACGGCTGTTCACCGGAATCCAATCAAGCAACGATGACTCAGCCTGGGAGCTTAGAATGATACCTACACCAGCTTGACCCGTGAGTGCTGCATCGGCGTCTCCGGATGCGTGCAACCAATAACGAGAGGATAAGCCGGATGCAGTCAATTCAATAACCCCGTTAGGGTCATTGATCCTAGTTTCGGACACACAACACACATCCATACCCAGTGTGTTCAAGGTGCGTGCGAGTGCAGCCTGCTGACCTGTTTGTCTTGGAGTGCGAACGTTGAATGTCGCCATGGAAACGGGATAGCGTGGCTTCATAATGGACTTGCCGATCGGCGTCCGATAGCTGCGGTGGGATGGTGGCTGCAGATGGTTCTACTCCAGTGGCACTTCTGTTGCTGTCAATTAAGCTGGGAATTATTGAAGGAAGGTTAGTACTGAGGTCCGGATGGGAGTAAGAGAAAAAGGTGGAAAAGGAAGGAGGCGCCAGCAGTAGCATGTTTTCGCTTATCCGCCCTGCTGTATGCAGCAGATATGGCGACCCTTGATAATCTGCGCAACGGCCGATGCAGGATGAAGGTTATGTTTGAAGATGTCATGGTTGTATATGGGCTGAGATAATGCCAGGGCGCCCAGACAGGAGGACGATTAGGGTCCTCATCCAAAGCCTTTGGCTCAAAAGCCAATCCGCAAGGCAGCGGGGAGGTGGCAACGATTTAGTTTTACAGAAATGTGCGCCAATCCATTTCAAACCCCCAACCTGGAGGACCAGGAGACTGGGTTTGTCTGAACTCTCACCATTGACCAACCTGGTAGGAGTAGCTGTCAAGGTGCCCGGAGGCATCACCCAGTATAGCTCAATGGGTCAATGAGGTACGCAGACCGTCGCACCACGTTATGGTCGAGCCTCGTTGCGACCGGTGGATCTAATACAAAACGCAGTGACCGCATCCTGATCAACTTATTACTACTGTTGTTCCCTGCACTATAGTACATGCTGCGCCGGTCCTGTGACCTCATCATCAGTACACGTTAGCTCAGGGTGAAACACCTCAGCTAATATGCCGCAATACATAAAGATAAGAGATCCAAAAATTGCACTACGAATTACACAAATTACACTACAAAAGACATGCCGGTAAATATTATATTTTGCGTTTTGCATGGGGTCGGAATTCGAGGGGAATCTAATGGGAAAGGGATGGGCAAAGAATCTCACAGCACAAGCACCATTGGGGCCGGCTTTTCGCCAAATTATTAAGTGTCCAAGCAAACGTGTTTATCGTCCTTAGGGCCCCAGTTGGGCAGTCGGGATGCACCAACCGACGCCAACTTCGAAGTGAGGGTTTTCAATTCTCTCGACCAAGTCATCGCTTGGCCTCCCCTCCTCTTCCAATCGCACCCACAACGCGCAAACAATGCACGTCGCGGAA